TCAAAAAATCTGATTTCTCCCTGTTCATGCTCAACTAGCTGCAGAAATAACTCTCTAGCTGTAACTTAGGCCAGATCATTCCTGCCTCTTAATTGTAGAATCATAGAATATCCTGAGTTGTAAGGGGCCCACAAGGATCATTGACTCCAGCTCCTGAATGTCTCTCCTCTGGTTTCTTTTCTGCATCATATCAAACAGAAGCTTCATGTCTTTACCTGCATGACCTGAATGACCTGTAATGACCTATTCCCACCCTTTTTCATCTAGTATTCTCTAGTGACATATGAACTCATCCTTCCCATCTGAAAGTGTCTATGTTCAGTCTTCAAGCACTTACATTCCCTTTTGTTCTGTCTTTGTCCTTCCCTCAGAAGTATCCCATTAAACTTCCTTTAAAGTCCCTCCGGGTCCTCTTTCAAATTCTCCCTTAACCTTTTCCTTTGCTGGGCTGTCTACAGACTCCTTGTCAACAATAAAATATTTAGAGTGCTGAGACCACAGTTTTCCTTGCTGACTGTTTTGTCTGATTGCTTCCTTCTATTTCCTATCTCTACCCGGTTGTTAGTGCTTGTATTAGATTGTAAACTCCTGTAGTTGGGCCCTTCTTTGAATTCTCTGTTTTTCCAATATCCAGCACAATGGGACTGTTCCAGGATCTGTGGTGGTATAGGCAAAAAACATGTAGTAATAGTAATAAAATAATGAGAAGTTAGAACATGGCATCATGACCAATATAAGCTCCTTTCCTCCCTTCTCCCTCTTCCTTCAGATTTGCAATATTTCAAATTTTTTACACAACAGAAGACAGTAAATGAGGAGGTTTCAGAATAAAGTATAGTAGCTTATGTATCCTTTCAGCTGCTGAAGTGTTTCCATGTGATCCACTCACTTATGGTGGCATTTTCAGCAGGGAAGCCTCTGTGGACACTTCTGTATGTCCCCTCAAGGTAAGACCAACATGTGGCAGCCAGGCAATGCTGAAGGAAGGTCCATGGCACAGCCAAGGTTATGAACCTCTTTCATGCAAAAATAGAGGACTCCTGTCTCCCAGGCTTGCTGCCAACGTATCGCCTTCTAGTCTTGCTGAAGTGATCTTGAAAAAGGATCTGAAAAGGGCTGAAGGGGCAAAAGAAGAATGTTGAAATGACATAGTTTCATCTTCATGCAGTTTAGTGCTAATTTTGTCCTTTGTCTTTAAGCTGCCTTTTAAGTGCTGTTTGTCTCTGTGGGAAGCAAATGGGTCACGTTGTTCTGTGTTTCTACTGTAATACGCTGCCTGCTATTTTTCTCTTAGATTATTTGTGTAATCTTTTTTTGTGCAATCTGTTTGTTCTTGAGTCTTGCAAACTTTGCTACTTCTTTCCCAATAAGCAGTGCAACTTGTTCTGTATTCACTAACGGGTATTCTGCACACAACAGACTGGGTTATTTCAGCCAGTATGAAAATATTAAAATGGGGAACATGTGTGGGCACTTAATTGTGGTGAGCCCAACCACAAATACCTTCGCTGTTGGTAACTGGCAAGCAGGAAAAGCAGACCTTTGTTTTGTTTTTATCAGACATAATGATAGATACATTGTTTTTAGTGGGGTTTTTCTGGTTTTCTAAGGAAATGAGGCTTGTGCAATCACACTGCCTGTGTGCATGTGCCTGTCTGCTTGTCAATTCCTCCCTCACTAACACTTGAAGCTAATAGCCATTTTCAACTAAATTTGAGCAAGATGCAGGAGTTGGGAGAAGAGACCAGCTTTTGCAGAAGTCTTGTGAGTTCTGCAGAAGGTGCAGTCTCCAGTGGTCACATCACTTCAAACCGGATCGGTTGTGTATATGCCCACATACCTTCACATGGATCCAGCCACCTAACTGTAAGCTTCCAAATTTGAATATTTTGGCTTATTTGCTTTTACCTTTTGGGTGAGTGAGTCAGTTGGGAGAGTTGCTAGGCACAGAGCTTGTGTTTTGATTCTCACTGGAGTGGCCATGTCTCATGAAAAACATGGTTTGCTCAAGGCCACAGTGTTATAATTTGCATATAAACTTATAAAAAAGGAAGCTTTCTTTAAGCTTTCCTGTGTGACAGTTTACAGGAGTATTTCTGTCTGTGTACTTAATCGCAGAAACTGGACTTCTCATAAATGTAGACAGGTTAAGTCTGTCACTGCCTGAATGGGAATCTTCTGTGGAAAAACCCAGGAAGAGGAAGGAAAGCCTAAGGAAACCAACTTAAAGGGGAGAAGTTGGCCGAGGCTTGTGTTACGCTACTCTTTGGTTTGTGTCTGACCATCAGTAGTTAGCTGGGGAATGCCTCAGAGTTATGGAGGAATGTGGCCTCAGGGCACCTTTGGGAGACAGAGAAGATGTACCTTTTGCTGGAAGAGAGGACAGAGGTACAAAGGCACTGAGTGACTTGTCAGAAATTACAAGAGGATGTATTTGAGTTAGGAAACAGACCCAGGTCTCCCAGCACAGGTACAGCCAGAAGTATGGTCTACATGTAGACAGCTTCTTCAGCAAATGGAGAGATGCCTGGTCAAAGAGGAAGATAAATGCTGAAGTATACCAGAGCTGGCTAAATTATGAATGTGAGAAGAGGAGGAGGGGAAGAAAAGATTCCCACATGTTCTGCTTAGATGTTAACAAAGAAAGCTGAGAAATGTTTGCATAGACACTACATTATTCCATGTCCAAATGCCTCATAAAAATAATACCGGATGATCACAGAATGGCACACTAGGGAAAATAAATTCTTCAGTGGAATATTCCCTCTGGAAAAACACTGTGTAAAGTAATACACTAATGGCTTTCAATTTCATGTTTTATATATAGAGATATTAACTGCTCCCCAGACGTCTCTTCGTATTACAGCCCAGCTACACGAGATGTTTGGAGAAGGCCCTGGAGCACGCTCAGTCTTGTCCACATGCAGGACTGAGTGGTGCTCTCTCGTGGTACATGCAGCTCCTGTGGTGTACACAGTAGGTGTCTTCTGCCTCCTTCCAGTGCAGTGCTGCTCCTGTGATTCTGTCCTCTGGGTTTGGGGTTTTTTTTGCTTCCTAGTCCTCGTGGTTTTTTCTGTTCTTCCCCCATGCTCTGTAGCCTCACCACCATGGTGGGAAACCTGCATTCCTTCTCTGCTCATAAAAAAGGAGTCCTCACTACAAATGCTACAGTGGAGTAATTAAAGCACAACACTGTCAGTCAAAACACTAATAACAAATGCTAAAGAAAGTTAAGTTCACATACAGCATTATTAATTCCTTTTTGGGGGTTTTCCAGGCTTGTCTGGATTCATCTGGTGACTTCTCTCTCCAGATTGCTCAGGCTGGGAGCTGTTTGTGTCAGGAACTGTCTGTCCTGTATAAAGCCAACTACGGTTATGCCGTTGTAGCAAATCATAACGATCTGGGGTTTTTTTCCAAGCTTTCCTAATATATCTCAAATGTGTATATATATCATCCTGCCACATCCTGAGGGATCCAAAAGTAGCTTACATGCTTTGTTCCCTGAACATAGTTTACTGGAGTCTGGGACAGGCAGGAAAGAAGTTGTGAGGGATGTTGACAGTGCACTGCCTAAGGACAGCAGCCCTGCTCCTGGGATGACAAGACATGTCCAAGTCCTTTAAGGAAGTTGTGCAATATATGCTTGAAAAGCCCAATAAACACAGACTGTGGTATGAGAGAACATCATATAGTTGCTGGATTATTTAATTATTATCAGATGCATATTATTTGTGTATGCATTTGTGAATAATTCTGTATTGAACTCAGTCTGCCTTCCTGCTTGTGCCTCAGCTCTTGCCTCCCTTCCCCTCCTTCCCACTCTCAGTGACTGTACCACTCTATCCATGGAGCCTTCAAGAAGTGCAGGGCCCCATGACTGGAGACACCACAGTCAGTCTGAAACTGGACAGTACCATTTTGGATGGGGCAATGTCCCAGGCCACAGTTGCTCTGTTACCTTTGGTGGGTTTCTCGTGCATAGAGTGTCTGAGGTTGTCCTTGATACCTTCCATTTTCAACACTGATCATTGGGTAAGGACATCAGACCTGCATGGGCTATCTCCATTTTCCAGAAATTGAATGACAAAGAAAAATGGCATGGGTGTGCCTTCCACCCACCTCTTCCATCATCTCTGCACCACAATCTTTCCTAGGAAAATATCTTTCCCATGATCTAAGAAAATCTTGTCTTCACTTGAAATCTGTCTGCCACATAACATTTTTAACAACAATCTGAACAAGGCAGGAAGCCTTTTGTATGTGTGTGTGTGTGTCTGCAGATTTTTTGTTATTCATTTCTGTGTGACATTAGGGACCTTTTTCAGAAACAGACAGAGCTCTTAAGGCTTGTCTATACTTAGAGTCTTTACTAGCAGGTTCTGATACACCTTTCTTGAAGGATGGTAAGAATAAAGTATCCATACCTCAGTTTCCTTAGGAATAGTTTCTGTGCTTTAAATAGACACAATATCTTAATCCTTATTAATCTTTGAACAGAAAAAAAAGTAATTGGCTTCATTGAGAGAATTGGTTTAAGCTGTACAAGCAAAAACTACTCTTTAAATGGTAGCAACTCTACTGCCACCAGGCAGCTTTTATCAGGCATCCTACCACAAAATCCTTTAACGTGGAAGCCAAAGCTTTAGGCACAGGTTTATCACATCTAACTGATGAGCTGAGGATGACTATATAGCTGGGTTAGGTGATAGCTGGGTGGTTTGTATCTGAGCTCAGCCTCCTTACAGTGAACACTGAACTGATACCAGTGCAGTCTTGGGAGCCAGTTTCAGTCCTTTCTAGATCTTTTCTTATGGGCCAGCACCAGAGTGCCTTACAGTGGTGGTGGATCTTTGCCAGCAAGTGGCACAAATTGCTCCTCTGTTGTTTGAGCTGCTGTGTCCCCCTTACACCTGTGCAGCACAGGTGTGTGGAAGGACCTTCTCTGCAGCCAAGAGCAGGAGCTTGCTTTGACTCACATCCATTCCCTTTGCTGACAGGCCGCTGTGCCCGCTGTGGGGAGAATGTTGTTGGAGAAGGCACCGGTTGCACGGCCATGGACCAGGTCTTCCATGTGGAGTGTTTCACCTGCATGATGTGCAAAAGCAAGCTGAGGGGACAGCCTTTCTATGCAGTGGAGAAGAAAGCCTACTGTGAACCCTGCTATATTGTAAGTACCCGTTCTTCTTTGTGTCCTGGCTTTAATGCACAGACATTGGAAACACTGATTTCCTTCTTGCTGTAGAGTTGCCTTACAGTTAAAATCTGACAATCCTGTGGTAATACCATGGGCACCAGGTTTTTCCATGGTATTCAGAAGAACTCCAATATTTTCAACTTACTGGATGAATCTCTTTTCCTGGTCTGACGTGTCTCCGAAAATAAATGGGACAGGGGAAAGCACAGCAGGGGAAATAGATGCTTTTTGTCATTTTTCATTTCTGTAAGGAGCAGACGATGCAGTGATTTTTTTAGCAGTAGTATTGTCCTTAGTTTTCTGTATTGGGAAACCTGATGCCAAAAAGTTTACAGACTGTGGTGCCCACTACGATTAAGGAGGTGGGATGCAAGAGAGCAGAGAATATAAAAATTCTCTCTAAAATAAAAGCCTTTACATTGCTTGATGGAAATTTTTCTACTGAACTAGGAGTCTTCGGATTAGATATCTTTTGAAGCTTACCTTGCCCTAAAATTTCATTTCATGCCTCCAATAAGGTCTTAAAGAAAACAATTAGCAGTTGCTCTGAGGAGCTGAATCTTGTGAGGGCTCCTGTAAGAGCTGCTGGAACCAATTGCACAGGTGCAAATTAAAGAAACATCACGTAACGTGCCTGAGGCCTTACCTTAGTGTGACCTACACATCCAGTATATGAGGGTAATCCTTGTATCTTAGAGTACGAAGCACCAAAACATTCTGGGAGTGCTGATAGGTCTTTGTCTAAACATCCAGTTCTAAGTACTTACAGACACTGGGCCTGAGATCCTTGCAGAATTGGACTTGCACTTCTGAAAGTAAAAATTGATGCTTTACTTGATGTTTCTGCATTCCAGTAATAATTAGAGCAATAATACGTATTTTTGAAAATGCCACCAATATCCCATTGTTCTCTCTATTTCTGCAGAGCCTTTACAGTGGGATTATTACTGAAATATTGAATATAAAAAGGGCAGATTCTGTCTTATTTACAATGGCAGTGATAGATGGGCCTTGTTAATTTGTTTTTAAAAGCTAAATGATCTTTTGATGGAATATCTATCTTTTGAATCATTTCTATTTTTGTTTGCACTAAAATGATTGCACCATAAAAAATTTAAGGTTCATTTTGTGGCAAGTTTGACCATGTACGAAGCACTGCAGACTTTAGGAAGGTGCATGCATAATATAATCGGAGCAACTTTATGTAACTGGAATTAAACATTTCATTGACTTCAGACTGGAATTGACTTCATCTGCTTGCAGATTGATACTTTCTTTTCCTCTTTTTTAAATCAAGCACGCATTCTTCACCACTCATCTGCTTTAGTTTGGGAAAACATCTGCATTAGACACTGTAGTAATGGTTTAAGATTATTTAATCCCATTACTTATACACTTCATTAGCCTGAGTGAATTGTTGGCAAGGGTTCAGTAAACTTCCTACATTGGGAGATAAAAGGATAAAAAAGGAAAGGGAGAAGGATTCTGTTCCTCATTTTCTTTCAAATTTATCTTCTATCTATTTAAGGGATAAAGGAACGATAATTGCCTGGTTGCATCTGCGTTTGTACATTCTGTGATATGGCTTTGCAGCTCTGAGTACAGAGGAAAGAGTAAACGTTTAATAGCTTCTTTTTATATAACCAGAAGGGGCCTTTAAGTGTTTATCCACGCAGTCCACAAAAACCTGGTTATGGACTTAACCCAAAACACGTCTGGATCCATCTGCTGCTGCACATGCAGGGGAAAGGATGGCAATGCTGATGGGGCTGTGTATGTGTAGCTGGACAGCTGTTACTGTGAGTGGGAAATGGGAAGCTGGAATCTGGCAATCTGAGGCAGTAAAGAAAAAACCAAAAAGCCAAGCACACATTAAACTCTTAAATGTGGAAGAAGCAAGAGTTGGAAGCCTAAGTCTCAGAACCTTTCAGAAAGCTCAGGACTCAGCTGTGCTGAAAGCCAGATCTACAAGGGATCTAAGCACCTGCCATGCTACTGGCTTTGGGCCTGAGGAATTTGTGTCCTAGAGCATATGTCTCATTGATTTTTCAATGGAATGAGGTCTGCATTGGCTTCAGAAGGATAATGAATGCCTAAGTACACTGAAGCCTTGAGCTAGGCTTGCAGATTCTTGCAGATGAATTAGGGACCCTTAAATTGATGAGTCACAGTCTGAATGCTTTTGTCTTTAGATGCCTTTAGATGTGTGATGCAGTTATACTGAACTCAATGAGAGTTAATGACCTGCTTAAAATCTAGCCTGTGCTTAAGGATTCTGCTGAATTGTGGCCTCAGATTTTTTTATTATTTTTTTTTTGAGCTTCTTCAAGTCCTATGATCAGAAAACAGCTTGGATACTAGGAACCCTAGATCTGTAGGAAGTCAATGAGACTGAAGTGCCTAGACTCAGATACCTCTGGACCTAATTCCCATGAAAGGTGCAGCCTATGTGACTAGCCCAAGACTGCACACCTATTTCATGGCAGCGGCCAACTGAGAAAACAGGGTTTTCAGCTGGCATAAGTCTGAGTAATTCAATGAAACTTGTTTACTGGTCTACCTAATTCACACTGATTTCTAGCACACATCCCCATTTTCCTAAGTCCAAAACTCTTGACCTCTGATGCAAGCCATGGAGGCTTCATTTATATAATGAAAATAAACTATAGTACTTGCCTAATTGTGAGATATAAATTATTGAAGTCTTTGATTATTTTTTAATAATTCACTTGTGTGACTTGTGGCCTTACACACACAAAAACTATGCACAAAAATAAAAATAAATGTTTTTCAACAATTAGAATTGGCTAATCTTCTCAGTTTGTTATGTGACTCTTAGTTGTGGTGCAGTGAAGCCATAATTAAGATTACTGTGAAGAGCTGTATTTAATTACTGGTTAGTCAATACCAAGCCTAAATAGCCTGCAGAAGGGCTTTTCTTTGGTTTTGTTTCTGGTTTTATTTATCAGTGACCCAGTTAAGATGAAATTCCCCAAAAGTCTGAAATAACATCTAAGGAGATCTTTTTGAAAATAAATATTTTTCCTAATGGGAATTTGAGTACCAGAGTTAATTTCTTTCACACCACAGCCCCTGCCCCCCAGAAGTCCATCACTATCATTTCCTGTTACATCTTACGAGTGCAGCGAGTTCTGTTGCCAATGTGTTTGCTGGTTTTGCTCTGCATCCAAGGATTCTTTCATTATTGATGTTATTTCTAAAAGAGTACCAGTCTTCTCCATTAAGACACTTCTGCTGAACTAAAAGCAACTGTAAAAACTAAAGTGTTAATAGGAGACAGATGTTTCCTAGTCATTACGACAGTCAAGTAACATCTGAAATACCATGATAGGGGTTCCAGTGTAACCAGTGTACTGCTGTGCACGTGCTGAATGCTGTGTCTGGCATATGTTATCAGTATATTTTTTCCCTCCCTTACAGGGCAAATTACCAACAAAAAACCATTTGGTTTGCTCTCTCTTAAGTAGTGGAAGAGATTTTAGCACTGGACTCAGAGCAAGGAAAAGGTTAAAAGTAATATCACTGGAATTGTTGTTATAAAAGACTGAAAAGCAAGATGTTAGAGCAGTGCCAGCTGTCTGCTTTCCAAATACCGTGTTATCGTAAGGACTGAACACAAGGTTAACCAGACACACCAGTCTGGCAAGAGTGATGCTGCTGTTTTGTGAATGGGATGTTCTTTGATGTCCAGATAGCTTTCTCCAGGACATGGAAATTCTCCTCCGTTCTTTATCCCCTCTCCTGGCAGTCTGGTGGTTGGCAGTTGGAGATATGAACTCTGAGGGCTGAGAAGGACTGAGCTCCTGCAGTTAACACAGGACACAGAGAGATCTTGCAGATGCTCCTGACCTCTGAGGGTTTCTTCTGTTTGTGTCCAAGTCAATGTGACCCACCTGAGGAGAGGACCATGATGTGATTGGGAAGGGTACAGGAAAGCAGAAATAGCCTGGGTCAGCTGAAAGAGTTCAGAGGAGTAGTGGGTTAGAAATGATGAGTGATTGAAGGAGAAGAAAGAAACTCTCATGTCTGTCTAGCTAGAGTGGGGGGAAATGGTGGGTATGCTCTGCAGTGCCCTATGGAGAGCCAGGAATTGAGGTTTTCTGTTTCTGCTGTGTGTTGGGAGATACTGATGACGTGACCTTAAACCCATCCTCAGAGATCACTTACAAGGATTTTACAGGTGAAGTTCATCTTTCCGTAGTACTAAAGCTGTGAAAGAGCTTTAAGGAGGAAGAATTGTGCTTGGAAGTCATGTCGTGATTACTGCTTTTCTGTAGCTTTAAAGTCAGGACCATAGTGATCCACTGTTGGTTTGTTTTTTTTTTTTCCCCCAATTACTTGTTCTGTGAGGGAAAAAACCCAGTATATCTTAGAGGTTTTTCTCTCTTACAAGTGTCTAACTTCCTGGCCTATCAGTGGCTCTAGTTCAGTAGGAAAAGGTAGTTCAGAACAGAACACAAGAGAAATGCTGATATTTTAAGAAATGGTATGACTAGAGCCACTGGTGCCATTGAGCATCCTGGGAAAGCTTGAATTTACTAACCATTCTGAAATGTCAGTGTCAACTCAATTTGTGCTAATTGAAGTCTCTGGTAAGACTGCTATTGGCTTCAGTGTGACTGGTATTGTAAACCTCGCCCTGTGTGGGCATGCGAGTGTGTTTGGTTGAAGGCTGTGCAAGAGCAGCTTCCTCCAGCACATATGGTCTAAAGTGTAAGGTCGATCCCTGCAGTAATACTACATCTATTTTTAAAAAATAATTCTACAATTTGTAAGCAGGGATTACAGCACTAATTTAGTAACTATGTAACAATTTAAATTGGACCAGAAAAGAGAAACTATAATTTAAAGATTTTTTTTTTTATGATACAAGTTTTCTTCTTTTTAAAGTAGAAAGCCTTTTATTCTTGTTTTTGTCAAGCAACGTATTGAATTTGAGAGTAATTTATGGA